CCCGGCCCGGCCCGGCCCGGCCCGGCGGGGAGCGGCTGCGCTCAGTCCAACCTCTCTCCCCTGTCTCCGCAGGCCTGCTGGTGGCGTCGGACGGCTGCAGAGGTGCCCCCGCCCGGCCGGGAAGATGGGAAGCAAGGCTCTGCCCGCCCCGATCCCCCTGCACCCCTCGCTGCAGCTCACCAACTACTCCTTCCTGCAGGCCGTCAACACCTTCCCCGCCGCCGTGGACCACCTGCAGGGCCTGTACGGACTCAGCGCGGTGCAGACCATGCACATGAACCACTGGACCCTGGGCTACCCCAACGTGCACGAGATCACCCGCTCCACGCTCACGGAGATGGCGGCGGCCCAGGGCCTCGTGGACGCCCGCTTCCCCTTCCCCGCGCTGCCCTTCGCCGCGCACCTCTTCCACCCCAAGCAGGGCGCCATCGCCCACGTCCTGCCCGCGCTGCACAAGGACAGGCCCCGCTTTGACTTTGCCAACCTGGCCGTGGCCGCCACGCAGGAGGACCCGCCCAAGATGGGCGAGCTGGCCAAGCTGAGCCCGGGCCTGGGCGGCCCCCTGGCCGGCCTCAGCAAGCTGTCCCCGGACAGGAAGCCCTCGCGGGGCCGGCTCCCGTCCAAGACCAAGAAGGAGTTCATCTGCAAGTTCTGCGGCCGGCACTTCACCAAGTCCTACAACCTGCTCATCCACGAGCGCACGCACACGGACGAGCGGCCCTACACCTGCGACATCTGCCACAAGGCCTTCCGGAGGCAGGACCACCTGCGGGACCACAGGTGAGCGCCGCTCCCAGCCCCCGCCCCCCCCTCCCCTGGCGGGCCCGGCCCGGCCGGGGAGCGGATGAGCCGTCCGTCCTGCAGGCTAACGAGTCACCAGAGAGGGCAAGCAGCGAGCGCGAGTGCTTTGAACAAGCGCTGCGGTGAACAGCGGGGGGAGGCACAGGCAGAGCCGGGACCCTCCGCCCCGCACCCGAAAAACAGCGTCGTGAGATGACGGGGACCCGCAGCCTGCGGCTCCCGCGCGTGTGGCCAGTCCGCTGACCCCCCTGTGTTGCCTTGCAGATATATCCATTCCAAAGAGAAACCTTTCAAATGTCAGGAATGCGGGAAGGGATTTTGCCAGTCCCGAACTCTAGCCGTTCATAAAACCTTGCACATGCAGGTAAGCCGAGCTCCCCTTCCCCTCGGCCTTCCGCCGGCCCGGGGGCCTTTGGGCTACGAGCGGGATGGCATGCCAGGCGCGGGGGCTGAGATCTGACCCGTCCTTCCTCACCGGGGAGAGCGGGCCTGATGCTGCTCCAGCGGCTTCCCGGCCGCCGAGCCCCGGCCCGAAGCCGCGCGCCGGGCGGGAGCGGATCCCTCGGGCAGGAGCGAGGCGCTGCGGTCCCCGCTCCGCTTTCTCCGGCCTCAGACGCGTGTGCGGTGTATGTGGGAGAGGGCGGGGGATCTATGCCCCGAGCAAAAAAGAAGTAGCGGCATCCATGAGTAGTTTTTTGCGAACGTCGGTACTTTCCAAGCCCCCTCGTGAAGCGGGAGGAAGTGTCTTTCGGTTCGGTCGGTGTTTTGCATCTGAACGCGGAACATGTCTGGGAAGGGGGGAGGGCGGGGAGGAAAGCCGGCTGCACCCGCAGCCCAGGAGCGCCCTGCCCGCTCCGCGCTGCCCCGCGCACGCCCCAAGGGCTGGCCCGCGCGGGGCTTTGCAACCCGCGGCTCGCGCGGCGCCTTTCCTGCCGAGCCCAGGGCACGAAACGTGATGAGCGGAGAGCAATAAACTGTACCTCGACAGGCAGGATATTTCAGCGCAGTCGAAAGTCCTGGGATCTCCTATCTGCCGTGGATTAGCGATCTAGGCTTTTATTTGTGTAGATTCCCCGCGTTACACGGTAATGCAGTGTAATAACGAAAGCGCGATAAGTTGAAACTCTGTCAAGTAGGTAGTTTGTAAAGGATTAATCCTTTGCTTGCTTCAAATCTGAACAGGAATCTCCACACAAATGCCCCACATGTGGAAGAACCTTTAATCAAAGAAGTAATCTGAAAACTCACCTTCTTACCCATACAGACATCAAGCCCTACAACTGTGAGCAGTGCGGCAAAGTGTTCAGGCGAAACTGTGATCTGCGGCGGCACAGTCTAACTCACACCCCGCGGCAGGACTTCTAGAGCCGCCTCGGACCTGCAACCTGCCTCTGCGGCTCCAAGTTGCTAAGTCTGCTCAAGGACTTTACTGTAGAAAGCTACACACACAGAGAGAGAGACACACACACACACGCACACACACACACACCGGCGCCCTGTATGGCACGCTGCAGCAGAACTCCCCCCGAAGTGTGGACTGCAGGACCCGGTCCCATGCCCTCCGCACCAAAGAGCATATGTTAGTCTCTTGTAGATATTCGCAGCTCATTTTAGAGCTCTGTACAGAACTTGGTTGGTTGGTTTTTCATACTGTCCTGTCGGATGCGCATTGATAACGAATCTGGGAGTCAAAATATCTTTGAAAAAAAGTGTATTTCGAAATAAATCTCTTTTTTTTTGGTTTGGTTTTGTTTCCTCCAAATCTCCCACTGTGTTGTGTTCCTTCCCCACCGCCTCGTTTCTCCTGCTGTGCCGGCTGCGACGGTCACTTCTGCTTCTGTCCCGCCACCCCGGTCGTTGTATCGGCACAAAGATTGTATCGGCTTGGCTTGGGCTTTTCTCATTGCCTTGCTTTCGTGCTGGCTATTGCAAAACCACAGGAAAGCGGGCGTAGGTGACCGGGCAGGACTCCACTGCTCGAAGGCTCGAAAGACTAAATATTAACCTTGCCTCTGTGCGATTTGCCCGCACGAGAAACCCTTTCTGCAAAGAGAAGGCGCTGCGAGAACCAGCGCTCGGGCAGGCGCGGGTGCGGCCGGCCCGAGCCGAAGCGGCTCCTCAGTCACTTCTCGGCAGCCGCTGGAGAGGGCCCGGCTTTTCCGCGGGGGGCGGGACGCGGCGCCGGGCTCCTCGACTTGGAGCGCTCGGAGGGACCGGGACCGGGACCGGGACCGGGACCGGGACCGGCTGCGGCAGAAGAAGACGCCTCTTCCCCGCTAGCCCTGAAAACCAAGGCCGGGGCGTCAGTGAAAGGCCGCCGGATCCCGTCGCGCGGGGAAGGGAAGGATGCCTGCGAGCCCAGCAGCGCTGGGCACCCCCGGCCGGCCCCGGCGAGCCGCTGAGTGGGGCGGCAACATCCCGGGGCTCGGCCCCGCGGGCCGTCAAGGCCGCAGCTCCGACCAGGTGCAACGGGAGCGTCTCCGGAGGCATCCCTGGCGCTGCCCCGACCCGCTCCGACACACGTGCCGGCCCCGCGGCACCCCGGCCTTCCCGTCCCGTCCCGTCCCGTCCCCGCCAGCCCCGGGGCAG